TTTATAGTGCCATCTACATGTCAGGGATAGAAGTTCCATAGCCTCAATGAGCAGACTGTGAAAGACGGGTGCATGCAGACAGCCCCCACTGCACCGAGAGAGACCCCAGCTTCCTGACGCAGCATCAATGTGGGATTCTTCATGGGAGTATTGGCAGGATGCTCCAAACTTCGATATCTCAAGGAAAAGTTCTGGTGTTTTTTTTTTTTTCTTTTTTCTTTTTTTTCTTCAGATAGCAGTCAGGGACAGAGACTTAAAAAGAAGTATATAGTTGATGTTTTCAAAAATTTACCAGCAGGAAGACTGCTGTGATGTCAAGCTTGGCTGCTCTTGCCGTGTGGCACCATGACCAACCTGGACACAGGGAGCAGGGATAAAACCCAAAGGGCAGAGCTTTGTGTATTTACAGTGTCTGGATTTATACTTGAAAGCGAAAGGCGGTGAAAGACCTTTATTCTTCTTCCAAGGGACGAACAGCAGTCTGTCCTCAGGACACTAGATACGGTGGAGGATGCTTTCGGTTGGGGCTATGGGAAGAGCTGTGCTGTCCTCGTAAAGTTCTCCTTCTGTTCTAGTATCAGGAAGCTTATCGGTTGCTTCGTACAATGTTACTTCATTTTCTGAAGGAGAATTAAGTGTCTCGTGACTGCATAAAATTTCGGAACTGCAAGCTGGTATTTTCGTGCCTCTTATTACCTTTTAGCAAGTTGTATAACATGTTTGTGTTTATTGTTTGGTCTAGCTTCACGTTCCTAGAATGTAAGATAAATGAGAGTAGAGATATGAGTGGACTTTCTTTATTGCTATTTTCTAGCTGCCTTTAAGAGTGAGTGATACCTCATAGATCCTGCATAACTTTTTGTTGAATAAATGAATTTATGAGAACATTGGGTGCCAGAGAAATAAATATGAGGTTTAAGTGGCTGTGAATCTGAATGATATGAAAGTCAAAATGGATATATTATATGTTGAATAATTGTGGTAAAATATTCTTAAGCCTTTGGGAAACATATTTTAAATTTCATGAAACTCAGCCACTTACATGTAAAATTATAACCTAATTGGAAAGCTTCCATTTTCCCCAGTATATCTGACAATAGCATGCTATTTCCAAATCACTATAGGGAACACATGTCTTTATTAGGTGTCCCCAAGTGTGGACCTTACCAACCAATGTATCTCCTGAAAGACAAGTACAGTGAATTTATTTATAGGTCAGCTCCATTCGTTTTTAGAATAGGGCATGTTCTAGATTGCTAGAGAACAACATTACTGGCCAAGGAGATTTGGAGGAAAGATTTGCACCCAGAGAACATGGCAGAGTTTGATATGGGACTTATCACGGAAGTCCGACACCGCATTGGAGGTCTTGTTTGGGATGTGTGTCACTCACCTGTCATTTAACAAGATTTGGGGTTCCATCTCCTGTAAGAATTTCGCCTGCAATTCTACAGCCTGTACAACTAGCAATGAAAATGTTATTTTGATGAAAATGTTTGATCTGTCCCAACTTCCTTGATGACAGAAGAGCCTGCTGGCTGACTGGCGCACTAAGGTTATTAACCATGGGGTCCTTACTCTCTTGTGTGTAGAAACATAGCCTCTTTCTAGGAGGTGTCTTCTCATGATAGCTTCCTTTAGAAACCAGGATTTTCTTATTAAGTCAATACGTGCACTCTGTTTTAGGGTATCAGGATGACATGATGAGTCATACCATTCTTTCAGGTTGCAATCAGTGTTGAGCCTATTGGAATGATTAAAACTGCCTTGGAAATGATGAAGATATAAACTGAGTAGTAAAAACAAATCAAAGAAGTTCCTATCTTTTTCATTATTCGAAACAACATACTCTCCCAAGTATTCTTATTACTGCAGGAAGTAAGTACTCTGCCCATTGTAAATGAATTTTTGTACAAGGTTTCCCTGTGATATTTTCAAAATTATATGTACAGTTCTCTAATAACAATATGCAGGATTGCAGATCCAGAAATTCTGCTTCTAGAGATATCATAATGCAGTGACTTCAATAATTTTACAATTATGAGCCATCTGGTGATTTTCATTTTGAAGGTTGTTAAATGAAACCAAATAGTTTGAGTCAGAAGCAAAAGAAAAAATAAGGGGCACCTGGGTGGCTGAGTTGGTCAAGCCTCCGACTTCAGCTCAGGTCGTGATCTCATGGTTGGTAGGTTGGAGCCCTGTGTCGGGCTCTGTGCTGACAGCTCAGAGCCTGGAGCCTGCTTGGGATTCTGTGTCTCCCTCTCCCTCTGCTCCTCCCCCACTTGTGTTCTGTCTCTCTCTGGCTCTCTCTCTCAAAAATGAATAAATATTAAAACAATTCAGAAGCAAAGGAGAATGGCATATTAGTGAGCACATAAAAAACTAAGCCAGTAAGAGGGTAGTCAGGTTGATTGCTTAAAGATTCTTGAAGGAACACAGCTTTGCCCTTTGTCATTTTGCAAGATAGTATTGCTTTTTCTTTAAGTTTTGTTGTTTGTGTTTTGCTTTTTGCTTTTTGTTTTTGGATCAGTATTCTTTATTTTCTGTCTGCATATATATATATATATATATATATATATATATGTATATGTATATGTATATATATATATATATTTTGTAATTTTATGTACCGTTTTCTGTTTCTTAATGTTACTACATTTCTTAAGGAAAAAAAAAAAAACATTAGAGCTAGAGCTAGTGTTTGAATAAATCTTAGTGGGGCCACATCCAGGTTTGGGAACAGGCCTCCAGATCCCGTGAAACCTTCCGGGCCATGTGTTCTGCTTAGAATTGTCTAGTCCTTTTCTGTAATGCATGAGCAGACCTTTCAGACTCACCACCTGTCCCACCTCTTCCGCCACTCACCAGTCTGTAACCTTAAGCCAGTGAATGTGACCTTTCCTCCAAGACTGGAGATAATCTAAAACCTACTCTAGATGCTGTGCTAAAGACAGATTGAGACAATATGTTTAAGCACTTGGAAGACTCCATAGAGGCTGAGTCAAAATTACTCAGATTAAGCTCACTCTGTTGGAGGCACTGAGCCGTTCACAGGGCACCTGGGTGGCTCAGTCGGTTGAGGGTCTGACTTCGGCTCAGGTCATGATCTCACAGTTCATGGGTTAGAGCCCCATGTCAGGCTCTGTGCTGACAGCTCGGAGCCTGGAGCCTGCTTTGGATCCTCTGTCCCCACCTCTCTCTGTCTGCCCTCGCCCTGCTTGCTGTCTCTTTCAAAAATGAACAAATAAACACTTTAAAAACATCCTATAGCCATTCACTTAATCCTCAAAACAAACATACAAAGTAGATATCATTTTGTCTTCATGTTAATGATGAGGCAAGTAAGATAGAGATGCTTCCTCATTTGCTCAAAATCATGTAATCGGTGAGTTTAAGAACTTGCATTTACGAAGAACCCACTGCTCTTTCGTGTGCTAGCGTTGGCTAGTCGTAAGCATGAACTGTTGTGATATCTAATATTGGGCTCTCCTGGGGGCTCCCTAGGCCTGGCATTTACAAAAGTAGAGGCTGAGTCTGTTGCCAGTAAGGGGGAAAAATGTGTGAGAGCCAGATAATAAGAAAGTGCCTCTTTTTGTCTGTCTGTTTTAGGTAAGGAAACAGAATAACTTCCTTTCTAAAATGCGCATGTTCTAGTGCAGTGACCTTTGAAATTTAAGCACTACGCATTCTATGAGTAAAAGAAAAAACACGGCTTGAACTTTTCATACAAGTTTAAAGTAAATTATGTATATCTATATATGCTATTGTGCAAATAAACTATAACACACACAAATAAAACAGAAACATAGATGAAATAAACTGCATGTAAAGGCAGAATTAAAATATTTCCTTGGCACATTCTGATGAACCTTACCGCTAGTCATCTACGGGAGAGAATCCTGGACAGGTCTGGTCGACTGAAGGCCCTTGGGGCACGGTGTAGCCGGCCAGAAGCCCCTAGTTATGAAGGTTGAACAATTATCTAGACAACTGGGCAATCCCTCATGGAAATTTGGATTTCTACAATATTCTGGAAACTCGGAAGGCCTGGCAACACTGTACCAGTTGACCTCTGCAGGCAAACCCTGAGACTCCCAGTTTATCACAGCCTCACCGTCCCTAGTGTCCCTTTAGCCTAATTCGCTCTCTGCTTTGGTGTTCTTGTCCCCCATAGGCATCCGAATGTAACGCCTTTGAATCAGAGAGACAGGGTTCCTATCCCTGTTCTTCCCTGATCTATACCCAGGGTCACTTTGAACAAGCCCGCATCAATGATTTTTTTCAATTTACACGGAAGCTTAGCACATCATTCTTTCAATAAGATTTTTTTTTTTTTTTTTTTTTGGTGTGCTCACTGGCCACTAATATTTCACCTGGTGTCTTTACTTCCTGGAGATTGCAAAGAAAAGCAAAGGGATTGGAATGAAATTCATCCAAATGTTTTGGAAGACAGATGTGGTAGAAATGGATGGTGTTCCCTTGTCTTACTTGGCGCAGTCATTCCCTTTTTGCTCTGCCAGGAAGCAATTAGAATTGTAATAATGTGTTTTTCTATTTAATTATATAAGACAAATGCCCATAGAAATGTTCACGTAGGATACTAACAACTAGTCTGCCAGCTGAAATCATCATGAAACAACGTACACGCTATCACTGACCTCTGCTATGGCTACGATAAATGTAATAACTTCATAGTTGATTCACTCATAGGGTCTCCATTTTTAAAAGGGCGATGTCATCAGTATGTTAACTACTCGACTTCCTTGCTTACAGAGTAACAGCAAATATTTCTTTCCTTAGAGATCACTTGTGTGTAAATTCATGTGGGTAAAGAGTTGCTGGGCATTGAGCGGGTGTGTTATTTGTTAGTGGAAGGTGTGGCGCAGGTGATTACCTATGAAGTCATTGAGGCTTTTCTGTACTGTCACAGTCGTGTGTATAAATCCTATAATAGACTAATGAACGTGTCACCTGTTTCCTTCCCCTTCCTGTGATTTCAGATCAGCCTTGAGCAGAATTTGACAGAAGATGTTACAACGGTTTTACCTCTGGAAATGCTTAGCTTCGGGGATCATCCTGGGAGTGCTCTCTGCAGTCTGCTTCGGCCAGTACGATGATGGTAAGTCTGCTTTTAGTCTGACTTTGAGAGTTAGCCAGGGTTTCTGTAATTAAGTGCAAAAGGAAGCACAGCACAGAAATGAATAATGCTAATGTGTAGTTCGTTGTTAGAGGTTAGTAGCTGTTTGCAATAATTTACCTTAATTAAAATAGTTCTGCAAAAGTGGCATCCGATGTACTTCGTTGCTTAACAAGGATTGCAGTGTGGTGGAAAATCCCGAGCGAGGCCTCCGTTTGACCACTTACTAATTATCCCTGAGCAAATGTGTAATTGCTGTGGAAAACAACAACATTAGATGCTATTTACTAACCCTTGAATTGACACAATTAATGGTCTCCGATAAAATTGAAGACTGTAAAGTGTACCAAAATCTCCTGTGAGGAAAGATCTCTCTGAAGGAGTCAAAAGTAGGTGCTCTAAGTGATTTTACTGTTAGCACTTTCATGGGGTATGGCATTATTTCATCCACCGCTATTTAATTTGGAAAGAGAAAACAGTGTAAAAGACTTGACGTTAGAGTTTGTGAGTTCCTTCCTAATACTCAGCCAGTCACTTTAGAAAGAGATGTTGGTCATCAAGGTCCCTCAGGGGACCATGTAACACGTTCCATGTGCAGAACCTGAAATGTGCGTGTCTCAGATATTTTAATAGTGGGGAGATCTGTGTTTGGATACCTCATAATGAAAATTAGGATATGTATAATACTTTAATAGATGGAAGAAATAGACAAATTCCTCCACTCTAGGAAGCTGAGTTTGGTTTTCTTTTTCCTTTTCATTGTTTTTACTTGATATTGTTTAGCATTCAGGGTCCACAGGCACCAGCCGCCTCTTCCGCCCTGCCGCTCTGTTATGTGGCCACACTTAGTAGCGGCAAAGAATGGCGTTATTAGTATTTTTATGCTTTGCTTGGCTAAACTGAATGATCTGAAGATAGATGAACTGATTTGACTTTATCTCAAACAGTATTCAAATTGTACGTGTATTACGGCATTCTTAGTCATTCATGGTTAGAAAAATATGGCTTTTTTCAGACTTGGAGAATAATTTTCAAGAACAATTATTTTCGTAAATCAATAGCCTGATTCCTTGAAAAGTTTTGCTAATTGGTCACCGTTTACTTTAAGTGTGCCTGAACCCAGTGTTTCTGTTGTTGCCATTTATTGCGATGGTAAATCTCCATTTCAAAGAAACTTTAAATGTTGAGATAAACAAATAATGTAACAGCTACTTTGAAGCAATAGATAGATAGATAGATAGATAGATAGATAGATAGATATGAATGAACCATGGAAGAGCATGACTTTCTATTAAAAGGAAGTGTTTTAAATTTTCCCTGGGAATAAATGACAAATGAGTGTCTTGATAGTTCTTGGCACCATAAGGCTTTCTATTTTTATTCGTATTCGGCCTTCACACTGAGCAGGGGAGGGTTCACCATCATTGCTGACATTAGACATTTGCAAGCCCTGTACGTTTAAGCAATGTTAATTTAGGTTATCAGAGGAAATGACTCCATGTTTAGCCCGTGATGCCGTAGATCAGTTTCCTTAATAAGCTCATTATAGCTCCTGCTCTTTCTAAATGTGCTCACATAGCCTCCAAAATAAGATTACCAGGTAACTGCTGGCCCGGGTGGTCTCCCGTCTGGAGCAGGGAGCCTCACACCTGCCACGTGGCAGGGCCAGGGTGCGGCCGGGCTGTGGAGGGGTGGCCCCCTGCAGCCCTAGAGACCTGTTCAGCCCTACTCCTTGAGGTAACTGACTCATTGTCAGCAAGGCTGCAGGGGTTTGACCTTGGCAGAGACATATGCTCTGTAGTGTTTTGTGGAGACCTCTTCACCTTATGTGCATTCTAGTGTTATGCCCAGAATTCGTGATCCCCAAAGACCACTAGGGAGCCGAGTCCGATGCAAAAGCAAAAGAGCCTTTATTCGAGCTAGCTCGAGCTCAATCCCCTCCCTGCACCGACGCAGCGGTGAGATACCAGGGAAAGAGAGCGAGTTTCAAAAGGACAAAGGTTTTATTGGGGCCTGGGGGCAGTTGGTGAGGTAATGGCTATGGCCTCAGCCGATTGGCTGGGGAAGGGTCCTGGGGAAGGGTCCGAGTCCTGTTAGGCAGGTGAGGGGGGGTTACTCAAGGGGAGGAGGTGTGGTCAAGGTGAAGGACACAGAATAAGATGGAGTCGGCTGGCGTAGGCCCGCCGTTTCACTAGCATCCCTTCCAAACTGGCCTCCTCCAGGGAGCCCCCGTGGTCCTGCCACATTCAAGGGTACCTGAGCAACCCCCCACCCAGGTCTTTACTTCTCTCTGAACTTCCACAATTAGGGTCTCTTGGCAATCACTTTTATCCAGTTGTTCAGTTATGTGTGACTGAAAATGGTTCTTATAGTTGCTGTTTGTTTTTTTTTTTTTTTTTTAAATCTGTATGCAATTGTGAGCCCATGCTGTGAAGGAATGAATCAGAACTCGGCAGTGTGCGACTATTGCACGAAATAACCCTAAACTGGAATATGCCATGAGACTCTCTTGAAGCGATTTTTTTTTAAAATCCAAATGCTAGGGGGATGGGGGTATGTAGGATCAGATGGAAGGAAGAAGGTGGTGAGGTCATAAACATGCTGACAGCCTGTGAGAAATTAAAACCGGAAAGAACTTTGCCACAGCTGATGATCTGCTGGTTGGATTAGCCCATTGTGAGAGTTGGCGACTGACGGCATGCATGGCTCGGAGCTTCAGATAGAGAAAAATAAAGGAGAAAAAAAATGTAAACTACTTTGAAGCTATTAGGATAACAGTCTATTAGGATAAATGTCTAGATTTTTCTTGTATGAAATAATAGAACTCTTCTGGCTAGTATTTAAGAACAGTCTCCAATGCTTTTCTGTATATTTCCTTACTTAGACATAAGGGAATTATCCTGAAATAAAGTATTCTAGGATTAGCCAAATGTGTGGAACTGCTTTTAAGGAAAATATATTATCTAATTATTATTTAAAATACTTTAAACAAATTTTTTAGTTGAAAACTTTGGCAAAGTTTTGAGTCTTTTCATATTTTCCTTTCAAATGGCTAAGAGAAGTTTTTAAGGTCAGTAATAAAATTTGTAGATGGCCTGTTCCATAAGGGATATTTCATTTGGTTGATGACTGCATCTAAGCACGCATTAATAACATGAGTGGGATTGATTGTATTATATTAAATTTTAAAGGTAAGATTTTAGCTAACTGATAGAAAATAAAAGAACATGATCCATTTTTAGTTGATGGTCTCTTTCTACCCTTAAGACAGTGTTGGGATTGCTATTTTAGCTGTGTTGTAATTCATTACCAGTAGGGACCAATTTATTTGACTGGGAACGTGTGCCCTGATCCCCAGTGACTGTGGGGGTGCTGGGGTGGAGGAACCACCGAGGAGCAGAGGAAGCAGGGCCATCTGGTAAGCGGTGTGCCCTGTGGGGAAACAGATACGCGAACGATGTCTCCCGTTCTAACACACAGGGGCAGCAATAAGGCAACTTGTGCACAGGCTTGGTTTGTTTTGTTTTGATTTCTTTCGAGTTCAAAGGACTCGCGAAGGAATCACGAAAGGGAAAGAGAGAGAGCCAGAATGGGAAAATGACATATGGGTAGTGAATATGGTTTATGTTTTATTATTTCCTCTGCATTTTCAAATTGTCCATATTAAATATATACTACTGCCATAATCAGATAGGAAAACAATAAAAAAAAAAAACTATATACTGTAACATCATGGCTAAGTTTGAACCAAAGTGTTAGAGGAGTGTGAGTGTGTGTGTGTGTGTGTGTGTGTGTGTGTCTGTGGGAGAGGAGAGAGAGGTTCTCTAAGTGTGATCACACTGTGAAAGCTGGCTGGACTTTATTAAAGAAAGGGTTCGTTCCCCCTGGCTGTGCAACCATTCGCCTGGAGGCCAAGCATCCTCTGTGCTGACCTTGAGCTGTTACACTGATTCACACGTGTGTGTGAGTGAGGGGGACCACTGTGTAGCACAAGCAGAACAGCTACATGAAGGGGCCCTGTTTAAAAGCCCGTCACAAGCTGGACCCGTTCCCTTATAAATGGCAATAACTCTTGAAACTCAGTTTTGAAGTGTAGCATAGCGCCTGGTATATGGCTCATGGCCAATAAACTGTTTACCTTTATTGCCATGGTTACTTCTCATCACTTAGAAATAATTATACTTCTATTTTTATAAACCTACATATTTGTTTATAAAGTACTTTGTGTCCCTGTGGTTGTATGTGTGTTTTTTTATGTCCCCCCAAATTTACCAGATACCTTGAAGACTTTGTTAAATGACACTTTCTCCGGAAAAGTGTTACTGACTGCATTCTCTCCCTGGAGAGCTGACCGATTCCCCTGAAACTGTAGGTGAAGTTTGAGGAACATTTCCAGCTTCATTTTCATGCTTGCTGTTAGGTAATCCACGCAAGGTCAGCGAAGGGTAGACCGTCACTCAACGAAGACTGTAACTGTCTGACGTCTGATGCTAGAGCCTGGAAACTTCTTTTTTATCGGTGCATCCAGAGGTCATGAAGCAGTGTGACCCTGGCTTATGCTAATTAACCTGAGAAGAGAATGAGCCACCAATGACATTGCTGATAATGGAATTATAAGGAGCTTCTAACTATCCAGTGAGCTGAGCTGAAACCCTTGGGTTTCCAAGCAGGATGTATCCCCACTTGGGGTGCCTTGAGGAGAGGTGGTTAAATAAACTTCACGGCTCTGCGACAGGAGTAACATGGTTTTAATGGTTCGTATTCCCAGACTTTTCTAGACTGTCATGTAGGGCAGTGCTATAGCACTCTGTCTACCTCATGAGTTCCTCTGCTTTCTATTCATGGGACTCTCATCATCTCCCCAGGATCATGCTGGAAACGTTTCCAGACTCCTGTGTCCTTTGAGTTTGCTGTTGCTAAGTGCAATGCCCGTTATCTCTTCTTGGCAACCTTATCTTTCTGGAAGTGGTACAAAGCAACAG